AACTTCCCTGGTCTAGCAGAGACCTTTGCACATCTCCCCACATCTACTGCTTCTCCATCAGGACCAGTGATGCCTAGTAGTTCCATGCACAGTCCAAGAACAGTTGCTTCCTTGTGCTGGGCTCATCCCGGACCATTTCTCAGTCTATTGCTGTTGTTACTTTTGTAAGAGCTTTGTGGCTCTCCTTGATGTAGTTTGTGCTATATTGCACAACACACAAATAAAACCAAAGGGAACTTACTCATGGGAGGAGTTTGGTTGCAGACAGCCCAATTCTTCCTTGTTTGAAGATTTTGCTCCAGTTTCTAGGTGAATGTCAAAGATTTACATAACAGCCTTCAAGATATTGAGCAGTCCGTGGTCTCAGAAGTCATCTGAAGTGGCCAAACTTGCTGGAGAGCTACTAGCAGAGCAGCACTTCACAAGATAGACTGCTCTTTCCTGAAAAGATAGCAAAAGAAAAATAAGATGAAAGAAAGTACCTTATCTTCATAATTACTTCCACAGGTGTTTGCCTTTTCCCAAAGTGCACACCAACACAACTGACCTTTCCTTTCAATAGGAGCACACTGCTGTGGACAGGGTACTGCCTTCTTGCTCTTCTTCCATGTGCAGATTCAGTGAAACAGAGTCAGAGCAGCACCTCAGAGGGCAGCATATGGCCCTGAGATCCAATAATTCACTTGTGAGTCATTTGTGCAATAGGCAGAGCCATTCACCAGAGCTTGATCTGACATAAAGAATTTATTGACCCAGTGCAGTTGATTGCTGTGAGCAATACATTCAAAGCAGCACAGAGCTCGTGGGGCTGGCTCTTGGTCACCTATACAGCATGGAGCTTTCTTCTACCTTGAGGCTCAGTGACTATCCAGCAGATAGAAACCTGGCAGCTGCTCCACCTTCCAGCAGAGCAATGACCCAGATGAGATCTATATATCCGATATACACAGATTTTTGACTGAGGAATGCTGTGCCAGAATGCTTAGGACTTTTTGGCATGAGCCTGGTCCCACTTAGCATTTTTATGAACGTTCCTGCTCCTGGATTCATGGAAAAATCGAAAGGGCACTTCTACTTGTAAGCTTCTTGACTTGATGGGTGTAAGAGAAAAAACTGAAATTGATGCAAATCCATGCTACCATCTCCAAAACTGAAACCAACACTAAATTGTGACTCACAGTCCCTCCCAAGGGGACCTGTGATGGTTTGTGGCCTGACTTACAACATGTGAGCACCCAAGGATGGAGCTGGTGATCCAGCCCTACAGAGAGCACTCAACACTCCCCATCCTGACCAAAACTGCTAAAGCAATGAATAAAAGCTGTTTATGTGGCAGAGAGGAGGAAATCAAGGTCTCACATGACTATGTTTTCATGTCATTGCCCATGTCCTCTTCCCTGGCTGCCCTCTGCAACCTCTGATGCTGGATTACCTTCTGTGGTGGGCTCAGCTCTACCTGTATTTCAACACCTGGAATTTTAAGACAAGTTGGTTTTACAATTAACAACTCAATAGCAACAAATTAAATTCATATAGAGATCCCAAGAAAACTGATTGCCTGTTGACAGGTGACTATAAATACTTACCTACAGCGCTGACTTAAAAGGGACAGTGATTGCATAAACATGTAAATGAAACAGATACCAAAATACTAATCATGACCTTGTTAAAGCAGTTGATATGGCAAAACTCAGTCATGAAATAACTTATAAAATGAAATGTTATGATTAGTGTCAAGAGCTAATCTTCCAGAAACCCAGACAATGTGATGCAAAGGAGCTTTTAAAAGAAATGCAACAAACTCATTTTTCATTATCTTCTGCCATCTTATTATTTCATAAGTGAGAAATCCATTAGCAATTCTGCCAAGAACTAGATAGGCTGCTTAGTTATCTAACACTGAGACACTTGCATCCTATGGCTATCTTGATGTCCCTGGAAAAAAAAAAAAACAGGAAAAGCAATGGAGCAATAAATTATTATAACTGTTTCATTAAAACTTAGGACACTGTAATTTTCAAGTTTATTTGGTGTTATATTTAAATGAAACAAAAGGCAACATTGTACAGTAACATTATAAAATAAAATTATTACATAGTACATTAACCAAAGCCCCATTAAAAAAAAAAATCCTAAAAAGTCATTTGGGGACATATCCTGCTCTTGCTCTTCTGCACACATGATTTATTAAGCTCATTTCAAGCAGCACTCTTTTTTAGGAAAAGCAAATGGGATTTGCCCCCAAAATGGAGTATCTTTTTTTATATTTCTTGCAGTTTCGTTTTATCATGTGTAATATACCAAGTTTATAAGGCATAAATACGAAAAACAGTTCAATATGCTCATCATTATTTTAATTAAGTAATACAATCTAGGACACTTTTTTCAATCACACCAAGGATTACAATGTACCTATAGCTTTAATTTATTTATTTTTTTTATACAAAAGTCTATCATATAGTATACAGTGTATTCTAGTTGGTAACTGGTTCACAAGGTTGATCACAATATTCTTGCAGGTTAATGTGTCAGGATTTCACCTAGTTTGTACACTCTGTGTCCCTCCCCCAGCTGCTCTGCTCCAGCAGCAGCATCCCACTGCTCCATCTCCTTGCCTATTTTAAGAAGGGCTCTGTGCCAGATGTAAACCCAACTGGGAACAGCTAGAGATGTACATCCCAGTGGTGCCAAGGAGCTGCCAGAGGCAGCCAAGGAGTGGTGGAGACAGTGAGGCAGTGGCTCACAGAGGTATTTGCAGAGCAGGGAGGCAGGGACCTGGGCTCAGCTCTCCCAGCTCCCCTCAGGCTCCTGGCACCATGGAAATGCTCCCAGAGGCTGTGGGAGCCACACTGAGCCCCAAGAGGGAATCCATGACAAACCATGGTCTGCTGTGTAAGGAAATCACTGCCCCGATGGAGGTGGGTGCCACTGGCTGCTTGTGCAAAGTAAGGATGGGCAAAAGCACCTGAAAAAATTAGGAGCAGCATGGATGCTTGAGATGCTGAGTGCTTGGGTTGGGCCAGCTCTATGTCACCCACAGCTCCTTAACCTGCCAAACCCTTCCCAGGATTTTGGGCATCTCTAATGCAAAGACTCATCCGGTGCCAGCTGGATGAGTTGCACAGATACACACACAAAAAAATCCCTGCACAGACAAAAACTGTGATCAGTAACATCTCCTGCACCCTTCTCACATCTCCCCTTAGAGAGTCAGGTATTTTCCAAAACCAGATTACTGAGATACCCTGGAGAATGCACTGCTGATTTGGGGCTGGGGACAGCAGGGTCAGACCACGTGTGCTAGTGCAAGAAGGGCAGGGGAAGGCAGGGGCTCTGATCAGTATCTGTTCCACACTCATCCTGTCCCTGAGAGGGACTTGTCAGTGCTGGCATGGGCAGAGGGGGGACTGACACTGTGCCACCACAGAGCCACACTGCTCCTTCCATCAGCACCCTGTGTCGCTATCACCAGCCAAGGAGAGGTGTCAAAGGGCTTTCTGACATCATCTGGAACCAGAAATAGGGTTTTTTACATATACGATCAACCCAAATTCTGCATAAGTGAAACTGCAGAGCAGTGTCCTCCAGAGTGGTTTCACATGTCTAATATTAGATATCTTCCTGGCAGCTCTGAATTGTCCCCAGAGGTTTCTCTACCTGTCTATATTTACTACGTACGGATCCTGAGCTCCTATACTCAGGTGCTGTGAATCATACCATAACCAAAGGCAGCCTAAAATAGACAGTGTGAATTGCTCCCTCCCTGCTGTGACTCCATCCTGCAGCATCTGGGAGGAAAGAGAAATTATCTTGGTATTAAGAATGGGCCAAAGCTACAGAATTTGGGCCAGGATTCAGGCCAGGCAGGCCCAGATTTTGTCTGGGCTCTTATTCTTGTTCTCTATTTGCTGATGGGACACCCGATCCTGTGCTTTACACTTATTTTTGTGACAGATCAACATTCCCAGGGATCACCTATCCCTAAATAAAACATAGCACGCGAGCAGTGCATAAACAGCTCTCCAGCTGCAGGAAAGAACTGACACATCTCTAAAGTCACAACAAAGCCTTTGCCTCCCACACACCCTTTCCACACTACTTTTTTTAAACCAGCCAGAAACAAACAGTGAGAGCAGCACATCCCAGAGAGCCAGAGAAAGGAGCATTCAGTGCTTTCCTAGCTGCTGTGTCATGGTGTAGAGAGGCTGCTTCTGAAGAAACCAAATTACCCCACATAAAGAGCATTCACTAAAAGAATCTCCTTTCCCTTAGAGGACCAGCGAGATCACATTATTTCCTGAAAATACTTTTTTTTTTTTACTTTTTTTTTTTCCCATCTATACTTCACAGAAGAGTAATACTGTCTGGGTATTTGCTTTCACTAACCGTGACAGGCAATTTCTGTCCTAGCTTGAGAATTCCATCGAACCTGCTATTTGCATTTGGGATATAGCATGGAATGGACATTTCCCATGGGATACAGACTGCTTGCTGTCCGGTAGAGTCAACCATCATTCTTAAGTACATTAGCAAGAGGGAGCAAAAGACCTCCCTGTGCCAAATGCATTGCATCAACAGCAAGTTTCTACTAGTGCTGAAAAATTGTGCCCTTAATGTAAGTGCTCAGTAACCACCAGCCCTGCTGCTTGAGGAGCACTCGGAACTGTATAGAAGGCTTGCGGGAAAAGAACCTCCATTAGTACCCATTACGCTGTGATTTATGTTATGGGCTTAAAATAGCAAAAAATTAAACAGTTCTATTTAATCTACAGTCTAAAAAAAGGCACGAAGACTTTGTGGGAAAAAAAAATTGTAACTGTTCAGATTACATTTCCAAGAACTTTAACAGAGAGTTGCTTTGATTTGCGCTTTGCTTGCTGGCAGGAGTGAAATTGAGACAACTTCACCGTCTGCAGAGGTAAAGAATATCCTTTTGGCATGGCAAGTTTGCCAGCTCTATGCAAATGTTATTCAACAGAAGCAACTAAAACCTCTTGTGATTGCTTTAAAACATAATCTTTTTGGTCTGCAGCACATTGCACTTACCAAAGTACTCAGTGATGATAGAGTGGGTCTTAGGGCAAGACCAAATACAAAGAGCCCTTTTTAATCTGAACATAGGAATGAACTCTGTTCACAGCTACACAGTCTGCTTTCAATTAAATGAGCATGAAATACACAAATACTATAAAATAAATACAATACATTCAGAGTTTTCTACATTGTAGAGAGCTTTTAAGACTTTCCTAGCTCCCCAGTGTAATGCATATAGAACATTCCCTTCTATACAGTGCTACCTCCATGTGCCCTCACCTCTGTTAAATGCAACATAGCTCAGACAATCTTCCTCTTTTGCCTGGATTCTCATCAGTCTCTGATTCTGTAAAACATTAGATCACTTCTTTAGGAAAAAAAATATTGCACTTTTAAAAATGCATAAAAATCGAACCGAGTTCCCATTAACTCCATCACACAGTCTGTTATTTAAAATAAGACTTTTCCAAAAATGTTTCTCTAGTTGGTTTGTGTTTTGCCTTCATTTACAGCATTCTCCATCAGGATATCCTCAGAACATTCTTCCTTAGCAAATTCCTTACAGTTTTGCCATCAGACGTTTGACACACAGCGTGAGCTATCTGAGACATGCGGCTGGGAGTCACAGGTCTGTCCACAGGTTCAGGATTTCATTGTACAAATGGGAACTACAATGACCAGAATAACTGTACAAGCTGCTGCTGCGATCAGGGCAGCAATCTTGCAAACCTTTGCTCTTCTGAACTCGGCTTCTTTCCGTTTTAATAAGGAATCATAGCCAGGAGTATAAATGTCTTCCATCCAGTATTCTAAGTTGTTTGGGTTTAATGATTCTTGAGTCTAAAAATTAAAAGGAAACAGTTGTTAATTGTCTGGGATCTGACATTAATAAAATAAATAAATCAAGCAGATGTGCCTGAAGGCCTCCCAACTGCATCTGGATCTGCTGTCAGGATAAAGTGGGTTATTGCCACTTATCACATCCCTTCAGCTCTTGGTCTCAGTTCCACAACGCTGACGAAAGTGGAAACAAAATACTGCAAAAAAATAAACTCCTGCACCAGTAAAATTCTGCTGCAAAATCCCTCACATACCTCTGATTTGCTGGAAACTTCATCATCTCGGATGGCATTTAAATAAAATCTCTTTAATCTGCTAGACAGCAGAGATGTCAGCACTCACCTGCCTGTTGCTGTTAATAATTTCTACATTATTAAAGCCCAACTGACGAGAAGAGCTCTAAACAGAAGCTCCTCACACACTACATTTGATAAAGCTAACCCTAATTTTGCTACCATGACTTGCTTGTGGGGCACGATCACCCAGCCCCATCCAGCACCCAGTCCTGCTGGAAGGGCAATTTCCAGACCCCTCTGGAATGGCAATGCCTGGGGACACTGGGCCTTCCTGGCACTACACAACCATGGGCAGCAGATGCTGAGCACTTCATGGAGGAGGATTCCAAGAGAGTTTCCCTGAAGACTTTACCCTCCCGTTCCACACAGGTGGCAAAAAAAGAAAAAGAAAAAAAAGAAGAAAGAAAAGAAGGAAAAAAAATGAAGGGAATCTGAATTGTTCACAAAATGAAAGGCAACCTGGGGAACTTTATCAGTATTTCCATCTGAATTAGTTATTTCCTTCTCTTTATCTTTTAGGCTTTTGTTCCTAAGCATTTATGGACTCTTCAAGCTTTGCATTTCTACCTTGCTTGGATTTTTCCCCTTCAACCTTTGGGTTAGAAGAAAACAGGGAGAAATGGGGGAAACCCAAACACTAGGCATTGTGTTGCACTTACCAGCAGAAAGGAGTAAAACAAAAACAACATTTTGAAAAATGACAGTGTTTCTTCATAGCTGTCTCCTGTGTCTGGGGCTCCAAAAGGCTATTTCTTTAAAAAAATAAATAGGTTTCACATTAAAATGTTCCAGTGAGAATAGCCTAATACACACACCATTTCTTGCTTATAACAGACCTGACCCAAAGCTTGTTGGGCTCTGCAAAGAAACTCCAGTTGACTTGAGAGGGATTTGGGTAAGCCTTTAATTGACTAATTCGGATTTTGTGGCCACACGATACTGGCTGAAACCTTGCTTTGACTGAAAGTCATGTTTGCTTCAGGTACAGAACTACTACAAGAAGTGATTTTATAGCTACCCCAGAGATAAACAATGAAAACTGAGCAATAGTTTTATGATCATTTAATGGAGCTCTCTGTGATAGTGTTAGTATGCTGAAACAGACCATCAGCCACATCTGGGATTGAACCATTTGGGCTCCAAATGACCTGTTCCAGCCTTCTGAAAAAAAATCAGCGACCTCATCTCTAAATGCATCAGAAAATAGCCAGACACTGTTTCATCCCAGTGGATCATCATAAACAGAGCAAAGCGATGAATCTCACACAGAGCCCACACCTTGGACAAGCACTGGTCTGACTAGTTTTGCAATTTCTGGATTTTTTGAAGGAAAACCCAGCAGACTTGTCAAGCTCCAGGAGAAATCTTAAGTAAACAAAGGTAGAAAACCCTGAAGATAGCCATTCTCTGCTTCAAGGAAATTGCAGTTTTGGACCCCTCTGCCTTGGCATTGACCTTTTAACTACTTCAGAAGGAAGATGCATTATTAAAAAGGCCTATTACTGTTAATCAGCTTCCTTTCCCATTTCATTGCCAGACGTAGGAATGTTCATTAAGGCATAATGTATTTACTTTCAGTTCTAATAAACTTAATCACTGGGGGAAAAAAAACCCCACTCATCAGTCTGTGTCTATTTTTTAAGTTTGTCAGTAAGCTCTATTAGAAAGTCTAGACATGGACTTTGTGGGGTAGATGCAATTCTGACAGTCCTTTTTGGAGGGAGAGAATCAAACCAGTAAAGTTCTATCACCTTTATCCTAAAGACAAATGATGGCAATAAGCCGATTTCTCTGGTTTGCTCACAGTCACACAGAGCTGCTTACAGAGAACGAAACAGCCCTATGAGGAGCAGATGGAGAACACTTCTCCCAAGGGAGCTCTGCTCCCAAGTATCACCTCCCTTACTGCCTCACACAGTAGGCAAGGGATGCTTTGTGACTGCCTGCTGCAGAGGAACTCCTTCCAGCCTATTCCTACTCTAGCATGCAGTCTGCAATGCCAGGGTTAGGAATTTAATAAGCCCCCTAAATCTTTTAAGACCCAAAAAGTAGCAGGCAGCTGAGGTAAGATGCAGCCTGGTCCCTGTGCTGCTTGGTTTCTCTCTGAGTGCACTTCAGCTACAGCAAGGACCAGGGGCTGGTGAGGACAGGGAGGTTTGCATGAGCTGAGCAAGGAGGTGAATTAGTTGTGCATAAACACTCATGGGAGCTGCACTACAGCACTGTGTGAGTGATGGTTTTAACTCCAAACCAGCCAACCTGGGGTCTTGGGGCATGGCATGGGTCATAGAATCATAGAATTTTAGAGGTTGGAATGGACCTTACCGATCATCTAGTGCCAATCCCCTGCCATGGGCAGGGAGACCTCCCCCCTAGACCAGGTTGCTCAAGGTCCCCTCCAGCCTGGCTCTGAACACTGCCAGGGTTGGGGCAGCCACCACTTCTCTGGGCAACCTTGGGTCCTGAGACTTGGGGTATCCAAGTCTTTCTCACAGTATCCTGATGCTTTCCTAATGCTTAGCCTGATGGGTTTGGAGTTGGCTTAGGTACCTCAGCACTGAGACATCAAGGGCTGACATGGAGCAGCAAGTCTCAGGCTCTTGCATGTTCACTTTGCCTGCAGAGAAGCTGTGGAGACAAGCCCTGGTTGAGCACAGCTGTACCCCACAGACTGCTGGCCACAGAGCCTGACTGAAGTGCTGACATGCCCCGAGCTGTAGGTCAGTGTACCCCAACTGCTGCCAAGCCTGCAGGTAGCTGGGGCAACCTGCTCTGCTCTGTGGTATGCACACACCTGCAGGGAGCCTAAAATGCCTGGGGTCAGCATCAGATCCCTGACTGGTTCTACATTCTGCTGTCAAAGTGCATATAAATGATAAGCAGTGAGCTGTGCATCAGCGTGGATTTAATTATGTGACGCATTCTGGGTTTCAAGACCAAATACTTCAACGTTTGTTTGGTCATATTTTGGATTTCATTCTTCAGACTTCCTCCTTAAACTTCTGCTCAGATATCTTCCTTCCCAAATGTCTTGTGTTTATCAGACTAGACAGGGACACTAGACAATGCGGTCACTCGTTATATGTGAGGTTTGTGATTTCAAATAGAACACAGTTTGGGAAAATTTAAATCCAAATTTTGAATTTGTCTCCCAGTAAGTTGCTCTCCTGTGCTTGTTGCACAAGAGCCTGCACACCTCCAAGCTGAACCAAAATGCAAACAAGACACACCATTAGCTGCTCTGCTCTTCACATGATTCTGGTTTCCAACAGCCACTTCAAAGCTGCAATGGTGACATGTTTCGAAACCAGTCATGGTACTGAACATTTTCTACAAGTATTTTATGTCTCACGTTCCTAGTAAAATGGAAAAAAATCCAGAACACTTCAATTCTCTCTGAATAATTCAGACAGGACAAAGACAGAATGAAAATCAGCAATTCCAGCTTCTGCACCACTCTGCCTTGCTGCAGTTAGGGACCAGTTCACCTCTGCACTCCTTTATTCCTTATCTCCTCTTTAGAGTTACTAAAACCACAGTGGCTTAGCAGACATCTCTCCATTGCAGAATAAGCTGGGAGCATCAACCTGTCAAGGATCACCATTCAGCAATGAAACATCCACATTCTTCATTGTATCTGGCCAGGATGGACAGAAATAGCAAGATTAAAGACTCAACACTGCATAGCTCCTTCCTGATTTATCCAAATCCCTTCTTAAATGCATATTCTGGCAACATTCATTCACAATCAAACCATTCAAATTAAACAAATGGGACTCACTTGTAGATCCAATGCCGCAATCTTGCCTTTATCCCCCGAATTCCTCGTGTATTCCTCTATGGTCCACGATGGCTGCGCACGTTTCACTTCAGCCAGCTCTGTCAACCTCATGTCTGTGTAGAGTGGGTTGCTTTTCATGTGTGACTTGAGTGATGCAGGGTAGGGATGAGGACTAAAGACTTGTTCAATCAAGAAAGCGTCTTTTGGTTGTTTAGAGTGTCTATGTGGCTGTGGGATTTCGTATTGCCTGTCTGCCTGCAATAGGGTTCAAAAGAATTTGAGAGAAAAAACAGGACTATGAGGGAGTTAAACATAAAGGTCAGAGATATTCCTTTCAGAATCACCATATGATAAAAAATTTAGCAGCTACGACAAAGATGGTCTTCATCCATTTGCCCACCTTCTTCTCACAACCAGATCAAAGAGATATTTTACAGACACAACTCCATGGTCACTCTAACACAAACACAATGCTGATACTGCAGAGGAAATTCAGGTTTTGTACTGTTTACAGATCATAAAACTATTCTAAAATGGCCCTCAGAAGCCTAGGTGATCTGCAAAAGCTGAGACACATGTAGGCTTCTGGGTTTATGTTTCCAGATCAAATCTTAAGATGAAGCAGCCTTAAGGGAAGATCCCAGCTTGACACTGCACCATCCATGGTATGATCCAGTGTCAGCCACAGTCCACTGCAGGAGTGAGGAAGAGACTGTCAAAGTGAACATGTCATCCTGAACAGAACAATGTACAGAAAAGCCAAGGCCTGGGCTTACTAAGGGAAACTTTCTTCCCCTTCTGCAGTCTAATAATAACCCATGGGTTTTGGTTTCTTGTTCACCCAACTGCCCTTATTTCCATCAAACCTCCTCCTCTCTTTTCTCAACCCTTCTGTGCCCTCATTCCTCATTGAAAGGAGGCACAGCATGCCCATCATACGATGTCAACTGACAAGGGAGCTGAAGGACCACAAACCCCACACTGTCCACGAAACAGAAATAACCACCCACACCCTGCAGAGTTTCAACTGAGCAGTGACCAGTGCCCAGCACACGGACAACCACAATATCCATGTGATCTGTGAAGAGGGCAGTGGGCAGCTGTTGGGAGGATGGGCAGAGCTTTTCTGAGCAACCAAACCAAGACCACAGCTATGCTGCAGTTCCACAACAGGAGGCCTAAGACTCATTTAAATGACTGTGAAAGTCAGAAAGAGAGAACTGTAACTACAATGAGCATCTCACAGTACACATACAAGGGTTCTTTTCTTGAGAGATTTGAAGCCATGAATCTATTTTGTTTGCTTTTAAATATGCACATACTTCTCTGATAAAAGCTGTCACAATTCAATTCAAAATATTCCTTCTAAAACAACCACTAGAGAATTTCAATTTTCCCCACACCTTTTTCACCAAGGCCTCCTCATATTGCCACTGATGATGAAGAATACCATCATCTTCCAAAGATGTCCCCACATTACTCCCCTCCCTTTTCAAAAAAGCAAAGCTTTCAAGGAACAACTTGGTCATTTTGCAGCTGCCAAGCAAGAACATACAGGCACAAAATCACTCAATTACGATAACAATAAAGACAGGTATAACATGGCAGGGTAAAGTATTGTCATACCCCAAGGCTTGTGATGACTGTGGAAGACATTCATAACTAGACTATTTTTAAGCACTTATTATGTGAGTTAAAGTTGAAATTACCTCTTTAGATTTCCTGTGCCAGTCCTTATTTTCTCCTCCATCTCTCTCTTTCATCTCCTCCTCTGTAATGCCAACTTGGTTGGTGTAAGTAATAGCTCTCCAGTCTCGGGGAGAGTTTGAAATACTTGCTATTTTGGATTCAGTTGCACTGTTTTCTTCTGTTAATGATCTTGATGACCTCCTAGTAAACAAGCTTTTTTTTAAGGCTTTTACTCGAAGACTCTCACTATTACTTCCACTGGCATCCGAACAGCACCATTCTGGATTATTCTCCAGTTTGCCTCCATGAGGAGTATTGTGGCACTGAAATATCTGTGGGGAGTTACTCTCATCTGAGGCAGCCTCACTCGTCAAAGAATTGAGATCTATTTGTACGCTGACCTTCTCTGGCTGCTGGATTTTTTGATCCAGTTTGCTTAATTTTCCCAGGACTTGAGAGATTTCTTCTCGAACGCCTGAGAGAGATTCCAGTTTCTTCTCTATTTCACCAATCCTCAAGACTAATTTGCAGACACTCGTTTTCAGTTCATCATCCGTGTTACTGATATCTGCACGGACCACTTTATCCAATTTGTTACAGGCACTCCCATTGGAGATCTTAGTCAAATTGTGCTCAGGTGAGCTCTCACAGTCTGATTTATGCACCTGAGACAAGGAACCAGTGCTGTTGTAACATGAAGACTGCATCACTCCTGTGGAGCCACTGATACTCATGTCATCCAAAAACCGGAAAATGTCACTGATGTCATCACTGACGATTTCAGAGTCATCGTCTGACTGCTTAAGAGAGTGACGCTCGCCATACTTGCCTTGACCCACTGCACACAAATCCTTGCATTTCTTGTGGTCTAAAACTTGCTGCTCTGTTTGTGTCCCAACACTCATGGTCCTGTCAATGCTTAAGATCTGGACAGAAGTACAATTAATGCTTTTATCTTTAAACTTTTTGACTGGCTCGTGTTTCTCCACATCTAGAATGGAAGGAATTTCCTTGGCTTTATGCCCATTGGGTTTCACAGAATAGTTTGCCTGCATAATTGGTTGCTGATCCTTAGTGTTTAGGTAGGCCTGATGTCTGTCAACTGAAGGGAAGTTTGGAGACGGGTTGCTCGAGCTCTGGTATCGTGGCTTGTCTTCAGACGGCTTCCTATTGAAAAATGATCGCTCAAAGTCAGGGACCTCCTCAGTATTCAAACTCCAGCTTTTAGCTGGCCAGGCAGTTTGCTTGGCTGGCTTTCCAGTCCACTTTTTGGTGTCCTGGGGCCCAAGAACAGTAGTTGGGCCAAAATATGTTGAAGCTTGAAGATCATCTAAACTTTCATGCTTTGCTCGTCTTTTGTCTGGTATAGGAGAATAAACTGGATTCAAGTACTGGCTGCTGTATGGCATTTCGAAGCTGTGGTTGAAGAAAGTCTGCTTAGAGCTTTCTTTCCTGTTCTGAGGCTCTCTGTGTCCATCTTCTGGTGTTTTGTTGGATGGTATTAAGTTGGGAGATATTGTAAGCAGATTATGAAAATCTTCTTTGAATATATTTCTTTTCTGGACACATGACTGCATCATGAACGGCTCGTCATTTGAAATGAAAGTCTCTTTTATGCCTGCACTTATAGGCAAGGAATCCTGGTCTGAAATAGATTCATTTTCAATGTTCATAGGAAAGTATGTACTCTGCATCTCACACGGTGGGGACGTGGCGATGGAGTAGGATGCCAGTGCCTGCAGCCTGTCCAGAGAGGCAGCACGGCCCTTCATGTCCTTGTTAACACCAAGCAAAAAGTTAGGCTCTGATGAGGGGACAAACTGTTGGCAGTCTTTGCAGTCCATCTTTCTGCATTTTGAAGACCTTCTGACTGGAAAGCCCCGGTTAAAGTCCTGGTCGCTCAGCTCACAGTTGGGCACACAGTCAGGCACACAGTCTGCCATATTGCAGATTTCCGTGTCAGACCTACAGGACTCGAAGGACTCCTTCTTCTTCACTTTCTGCCTTGCTACTGGAAGCTTCTCCTTGGCCACTCCCCCATTCATTTGTATGAGGTTGAATATTGTTACTATATCTGCTGCAACCATGATTTTCTTTGATTGCTGATTGTTTACAGTGCATCTCATTTTGTCTTTGAACAAAGTCGCTGGGAAATTAGGATCCAAGCAAGCAGTGTAAAACAGCACACTTCTGAGCTTGGCCAGCTGGGATAAATCAAACCTTGCACACAGGGACTTGCAGAGATCCTGGTAAGAAACAGTATTCTGCTTCGTGTCCAGCTCCTCCAATATCTTCACCAGGAAGAGCGAGGATTCCTGGTTGGACTCCATGGTTTAAGCGTATTTTGTTGTTTAGCCTGGAAACTGTGTTCCACTTCTACAGCAACACAAAAAAGATTGTAAGTCACTCACAGATAATACCCAGGACTTTGTAATTCAGCCACAGATGGGGCCTGACTCCCTAGCCATGCAGTCCAGGGCTTGCTTGTATAACCCAACCTCATGTTCTGAACTCCAGGCTGTAATCCTAGCATCAATGAAATCAATACTTAAATGGAATCAGGGTTTCATCCAAGGAAGCTCATCTGTGCCAGTGTCTACTAAAGCAGCCAAATGAATAAACAACAGAAGCTTTGGAGGGGCTGAACTAATGGCAGATAGACAATCCCAGTCTCCTTGCTATGGGGCTTTCACAGAAGTTCTTACCAACTTGTTAGAGGTTCAAACCACAGACACATCATATTGCTTGGCAGTAATTCTAGCCCTGGCCTAAATAGAGATAATCTATTGCACCATGACAACCCCAGCTGTTTTCATATCTCAATGCAAGTGCCTCTCAGGAAGATTTTCTGACAATAAACTTCTGACACGGTTTTAGAAGTTATCTGAGCACATAATTACCATCTTGCTTATTTTAAATCACTATTTTCTCCTCTACTCTGAATTAACTCCTCTGGATACAATGACTGTTTTTCTCCAGAAGAACATTTTCCTAAGTTTATGATTCAGGAATGGAAAAGTTGCCAGGTCCCATGTGAAAAGTCTGTGTGACCCTCCATTCCAGCTCTATAGTGCAAAATTTAGCAAAGAACAGAGAGAGTGAAACAAGAAAAAAAATCCCACTGAACCTTGAAACCAATCCAGCAGATGCTAGAGGGCTGCCTGCCAATCAGGGTGGATTTGAAGACTGAGAAATATCAAGGACAGAGAACATCCTCTTCAGTGATGTGCTCCCAGAGAAACACAGGACTACATATCCATTCACCATCCCAAAATGACAGGGCCGAGGTGGAGAGCAAAAGCTGCACATTTATGGGGATAACAGGAATAGCTTGAACAAGCACAGCTAACACTAGCAAACATCTTGGGAAGGATATAAATCCCTGCACTCTCAGAGTTGAAAACCTCTAGCTGTTATGGATTAGGAAAGGATGTTGATGGGGTACAGATGACTTTTCATTCATCTATTGTGAATATCCTTGTTGGTGTCTCTCCTGTTGGCTACTGGGAGAGACAGAGCACGGGATGATGCAGTCTGCCAATTCCTATGTTTGGTCACTTTGTTATTCTTACTGATAGGAATGACAAATATTTTCCCTTTCCCTAAAAGGTACGGTACCTTCCCCCATTCATTCCCACTCTTAGATGACCCCTGGAACTAGCCTCTCCATCTGTATCAAGTACAGAATATCCACCCAAATGGCAAAGCAGAGAAGCCAACCTTACAAGGTTTATTATTAGTCATTTAAAAAGTCATGTCCCACCTAAATACTCAGGACTCCTGAGCACCACTCCAGGAATACAGGGTTCCTGTTTCCTCTCTTGGAGCCTTTCATCTTGCATTACACACTGGCAATCACTATCAGTACCAGAAGCTATAGTACTCCAGCTTTAATAGCAAACACCACTGTAGCATCTTCCAGAGGGACAAAAGAAAACCACCAGGTTGCCCATAAGAACAAGAAACAAGTCTCCATGCAGACTTGGATGTTTATTTAAGTAGCATCTTTTTACTGCATGTGATCAGAAGTTGAGCAGCAGCAATGTGAATGTACTTTAGTGATTGTAAACCCAACTCTCAGAAACCAATGGCTACAGGGATTTTCCAACACCTTCACTGCATGCATGTTTGCTTTTAAAGCTCCTGTATTATGCACAGCAGCACAACTCTTCTGTGAGCTGACAAAAGAGAAAAAATACTTTACTGTTCCATGCTCAGCTCCAAAAAGTAATGCTAAAGGCTGGAGGAGGGAGCTTGTATCCCTTTTCTTTCTCCAAGCAGTGTGTGCTTGGAGGCACAGCCTTTTTCACAGCTTGCCTTTGCATTTCTCTGATGTGTCACCATTAGACAATGATGCTCCCAAGCTAAGTCCAAACTGTGCTACCTGCCACCAACGCCACCGAGCCCTCCCAGAGTAAACTGCACCTGTGGGGCTTAGAGACTTTCCCAGCTGCCAGGGGATTGGCATCACAAGTCAATTTTCTGCATGTTATAAATCTGCCACCTGGGACAAGAGTGAAAATAAGTCTTTTTGTCACCTCCAGGCTGAATACCAGCAAAAGCAACTATCTCCTCCCATTTGTAAATTCACAGCTTCTTGCAAAACCCTCACCTGGATATGCGTTTTCACAGCCTGATGCACATTCTGCACTTGCTGCACCAGCCTGCCAGCGCCCTGCCTCCTCCCCACTCACACTCCTGCTAAAACACTCAAGTAGCCACTTGGTGATAATGTATTTCTGAAAACTGTCAACCCAGTTTGTCCCCTACCTTTCTGTCTTTACTCTCTCATCCCTTTCTTGAAAGCTTTTCCTTTGCACTAAGCCATTCTTACCATACCTCTCCCATCAGAGGTTTTGACTTCAATTGAGGCTCCTAAACCATATGAACCTGGTAAAATTTAGTGCAGATTCATTTTCAAAGTTGCTGAGGGCTGACAATTTCAGTAAGTTGAGTGGAGGTCCTGCTGTGTAACCCCAATCTTTTATATAGCACTGATGAGGAGACTTGGTTTGGGGACCCCAATCCATGCCCAAGCAGTAAGGCAGCAGCACTGAAGCATGGATACCAAACAGAAGAGCTCTGCTAGACCTGTTTTAGCTCAGTCTGGACCTTGTGCTCCCAGACACAAGCCTGGGAGGTGGCAGTCAGCTTTAAAACAGCGAGAGGTCAGGGAGATGACAGAGGCTTAGAGATAAGGATGACCAGGAGAGAGCTGAACCTGCTGAAATGAGGTTTTGGCCAGTTTGTTCAACTGAGGCTCAGCTACAGGAGGTGGGAATTGAAAAGGCAGGTTCAAAAATCAGATGCAGGCCTTGAGGAAAAGAAAGCTAGCTAGGAGTTGGAATAATTTCCTCTTCACCCCTTGGCTGTTCACAGCTTTCTGGTGTGAGGGCACTTTAGGTGCGAAAGGTACTTCTGGGCTTCAGCCTGCACGTGGAAGTGGGTGCTCCCATGTGCCAGAGCATCAGAAACTTTGCTAGTGGAACATCAACAGACTTTGGGCTGTGAAAAATAGGATATACTACCACATAAGGATAATGTATAAGGGCATTGAAATCTTTCTTCCTGGGTCAGGGATGTAAAAACCTGGTGCCACAATTTTTAGTGGCACATTAAGCTCCTCTGTCTCTTGTCAAGCCTCCTAACAGCCTGTGACAGAGACAGGTACCTCTTGGCAAGTCACTGCGGGAGCTGCCACATCCCAGGTGCCAAGCACTTGGCCATGCACTGTCTCAGCTGTTATGTCCACGTTCATTCATTATCTCTCAAAGCAGGACCAGAATAAACCTGGACGTGGCGCATAAATGCAGAGCTCTGAAATCAGCACAGGAAGGCCTTTTAAAGAGGGTACAGGGTCACGAATCAGTCAAAAGCAGCAAAGCAAATAAAAGCACCCACAGCAAGAGCAGCAGCACAGGGTCTCCTCAGATGGCCTCAATTCCACCAATGTCCTCGTGCCTTACCCTCACTACCAGCAGCCACACACCCCCTTCAAACCCTCCCTCAAACTGACTTTGGTCTCCAGGGACATGGAGCTAAGTAGCCACAGGGACAGGATCTAGGTTATTTATCTTCAGCAAGACCATCTGTGACCAAAGGAGCCACTTAACATTTCATCCTTAAAGATTTTGTTATATTAACACTAGGAGGGTCGCTTGGACTCAGCTTCCCAAGATTCGACATTTGCTTCTCTAATAGCACAATTATATCCCAGCATGGACTTGTACAGCATCATATTGCATGGCCAGTCGATGGGGTCTGACTCTCCTTGCACACAGATGAGCTTCAGACTTACCACAAATCAATGTCTTCTTGCCCTGCACCAAGAGCAATGAACCGAGCTCTCATCTTACCATTAACCCACTATCTCAGCCTCAGGAGGAGAAGCTCAAGAATATTATTATTGCAACCCCCATCCCCAGTGGAGCTTTCTGCTGCACAAAGGGAATATACTGTTCTATTTTCTGGTGTCTTTAGGAATCAAGCCTCCATAAAACCTCTCCCCTGTGGTTCCCCAGACCAGGGGAATCTGCAGACTCTTTCATGCAGTTTACTTCCCTGCAGAAAAGCCAGGATGCATCTTCCCTCCTCACCACCTCCCAAATCAGCATGAGGGCAGGGATGCTCCCCTCACCTTCTGCCTACCCTATAAATTCATCATACATAGGAATCATTAAATTAGTACTGCTCCCCAGTTGCCCTGGCTTCCTTGCCCCATGACACCTTCAGCCCAAACCCTGCCCTCCCAAATGGGCTAAGGGCAGAGCACATTGGGGTAGATAAACCCTGGCATGAAATTCAAGAGAACATCCCACTACTCGACTTCCCTGAGCAGCTGCAGGGCAGCAAGGTGCCTTGCCTGAGTCTGAATCACAGCCACTGGGAGACAGACCACGTTATCTTCCACTGTTATTTCCTCCTTCATTTCCTTCCCTGTTCTTTGTGCCTCTGACATTTGCTCTCCCCATTTCCCAATATCCACAGCAGGTGCAGCTAATACACAGATGTGACTGCTGGAGTCATCATTTCCCCTCTCCCTTTGATTTGCCAGCCGAGAGGGAAACAGCATCCTTGTTTTGCTTCCCCCCACAGTGACTAACGGGCCACCCTAGAATGCTATTACAGCGCCGGCAGACAGGGAGAGCGATCCTTGCATAAATTCCCGCAGAAAGAGCCAGCTACTTCACACAGGAGAACATTAATACAGAGCCTGTGATATGCTGTTATACTATTAACTTGAGCTCATAAATCATTTAGCCTGTCTTCTCAACTCCAGATACGATAAAACAAGGCAGGCAACGCTCACCCTGCATGAAACATATAACCCACCGAGATGGAATTCAGTTTTTGTTTTCTCCCATACTCACAAATCCAT